ATATATATACGTTTGTCCCACTACATTCATAGTCCTATCCCAGACTACCGGCAAATGCAGCGAACAAAAACAAACAAAGTCAGCAAGTCGCCTTGTGAAGATAGGTGAAGGACTTCTGTCCAGTCACTGGAGAGTAGCAGGTCTTGTGCTGGCGGGCTTGATGGACCAATTGACCGAAACCATAGCCAGCCACACTGTATGCTCTACTTTCATGACTCACCGACCAAGACGGCTTTGTGGACAACAGAGCCGATGAGAGTTTCAAATGGTTCATGCAAAGATATCAGAGTATTGATAGTATGACGCATGGAAAGCAGATCTACACTGAATTTGCTTCAATAAATATTCGGCTAGTAACCTTGGGAGACATGAATACATTCAAATTTCGGTGCAAACACAGAATAAGTTTATGGCCATCGCACTGTACTGGTCATATGGGACTTTACTAATCTGTTGGTGTACACTTTGACTTGTGGGTGGACGGTAGTTTGGTTCTTTTTGTGCACAAGGGCTGTATCTATAGTCCCGTTTCTGTGAAAAGTTGTACACAATATCAAAGAGTAGACATGGGTTTGAATTTCGGTGTGTAAGCACCTCATTTCTGCTCGTGCCATAGATCAAAGTGCGCAGCCAATGAGACAGCAGCCCAATCACAAACCACAGTTGAATGCTTTTTCAACTTAAAATAATAATAAAACAGCCACAGATAACCCAAGGCAACTACGTTCGAACAGTTGCCTGTGCTCATCAACTCAGCGCAAAGCCTTGCTGACACAGCCTCGCCAGACTTTCCATGATCACGCAATCTGCTACCCTTATTGCATTCACTCGCCGGCTCATCGTCGCTCATCTAACGGGTATAAAACCCTAAAGCCTAAACCATAAAACCCTATTACATTCACTCGCTGGCCCATCGTCTATCGTCTAACGGATATAAAACCCCAAACTTTAAACCCTATCGCACTCACTCGCTGGCTCATAGCCACTCGCTAAACGGATATTAAACCCTAAACCCTAACCCCTCTGACGGGGGCTATGGCCTTCTCCAGCGCAGGCACAATCTGCTTCTTGCGCGAGACAGCGGTCAGTGTATACACCTCCCCAATCTCACGAGCGTCTGATAGGCCAAACGCCTGATATAAAACCCTAAACTCTAGAACCTCTGACGGTGGCTATGGCCTTCTCCAGCGCAGGCACAATCTGCTTCTTGCGTGAGACAGCGGTCAGTGTATACGCCTCACCAATATCACGAACGTCTGATAGGCCAAACGCCTGCGGTGTGTGGCGCAAGCATGCCGTAAATACGAAATGAGTTGTGTATGTCTCCTCCACGTGTTGTAGGAACTGTGAACCGTTTGTATGAGGTATGGGTCACATGCACGTCAGAGGGCGAGCATGATTGTACAATCTCTGGGCACGCGCTAGCCACACCCTGCAGAGATAACTCTACAGGTAACACCGTGTGAGACTTGCGAGAATGAGCTTCAAATCCCTGAAAACCCTAAGACTCAACTTCAAACAAACCCTTTAAAACCCTAAAACCTCACAATAGCATACTGTGAACACTACACTGACCACCACTAATAGCAATACGAACCGAACGTTGAAGCAATAAACAAAGTGCACCACGCGAGAATTTGTGTGACCGATTCCGAAGTATACGGTAAACCCTAAACTCTAAACCCTGACCCACTCGACTCAACCTCACACTGAAGAATAGCGCAGTGATGCCTGTGCGCTTGTACCTGAGTCGTCTGTGTCTGTTTGTTTTCACCCCATTTTTCATTCATGACTATCGCTTATGCTCACCTGTTCGATGAGGCTTTGTTCGGCTGCCGATATAGCAAACATGTATGACTGCAGCACCACCAAATCAACCACACAGAATATCAGGTACTGTAGGCCTTCACTGTGCTTGATTTCTCGCAACGCTCTCAGCAGGTCCTCCTGTGTTTAAAGAAATATAGATACAGCACATGAAGGTAGTTAGAACTATAGATACAGCACTTCAAGGTAGATAGGACTATGGATACAGCACTTGAAGGTAGGTAGAGCTATGGATACAGCACTTCAAGGTAGGTAGGACTATGGATACAGCACTTGAAGATAGGTAGGACTATAGATACAGCACTTGAAGGTAAGTAGGACTATGGATACAGCACTTGAAGGTAGATAGGACTATAGATATAGCACTTGAAGGTTATTAGGACTATGGATACAGCACTTGAAGGTAGGTAGGTCTATACATAAAGCATTTGAAGGTAGGTAAGACTATAAATACAGAACTTGGAGGTAGGTAGAACTATATATATAACACTTGAAGGTAGGTAGGTCTTCTATACAAAAAGCATTTGAAGGTAGGTAAGACTATAGATACAGAACTTGGAGGTAGGTAGGTCTATAGACACAGCATTCGAAGGTAGGTAGGACAAATGGCTATAGATACATATAAACTTACAATTGGCTATATACACATATAAACTTGCAATTAAACATATATTACATACATATAAACTTACAATTGGCTATAGATAAATACAACCTTACAATTGGCTATATGCACATATAAACTTGCAATTAAACATACATTTCATACACATAAACCTACAATTGGCTATAGATACATATAAACTTACATATACAGCACGAGAGATGTAAACCCGCGCACCTTACGCAGCAGCAGTGCCAGTGGTGTGAGAGTTTCTACCACAGACACGGCGTACGTTCCGTTTTCACAGTCGTAACGTTTCATGTCCATTTGCACAATCTCATGTGCTGCGATTTCGTAGTCAATCCGTTAATTAGTACTTTGCTCGTTCATTCAGTTTGTCCCATCGCCTGTGGCCACTGAGATTCAATGCGTTCAACACTTCTACCAACGTATTGGATGAGGCTATCCTGCCCTATACAGTGCCTATCCGCAGTAATGACAAAGAGAGGAATGTGCAGACGATGTATGTACAAGACACAGATCCCGTTGCGCTTGACGTTTACCAAAGTGTCTAAAAGGTACACATACGCAACTGAGGAGTCTTTCTCAAGACATAATCACGGATGATATATTTATTTGATATGCCAATGGTAGTACGTGTTGTATAGATATAACCACAGATGATTATATATATCTGATATGCCAATGGTAGTATGTGTTGTTTAGATATAACCGCAGATGGTTATAACTATCTGATATGCCAATGGTAGTACGTGTTGTTTAAATATAACCACAGATGATTATACCTATCTGATGTATATGTTGTTTAGATATAATCACAGATGGTTATATTTATCTGATATGCCATCGGTAGTATGTGTTGTTTAGATATATT